GTCCGACCATCTGCTGGAACGACTGCAACATATGGGCCTGCTGTAACTGATACCGCCGCTGCGTCCGGCTCTCCTCGGCATCATCCTCCCACGGATTCGGACGCTTACCGCATACCCCGGCGCGGACGGCGGATGCAAACCCTAAATATTGATGCCAATCCTGGCTGGACTGCCGGAACCGCTGCCGCCGGTGCGTGGTGCTGTTGGTGGGCTCCATGATCGTACGACCGTACATCATCCCGGCCACGTGGGACGAATGGGTGGCTTGCAAATCCGCAATATGCCCCATAAACTCCTCCTCGTCCATCCCACCCTCATCGTCGGGGTCGTACGGGGGGGCCGCCTCGCCCGTGCCCTCCTGCACGTTACTCTCAAACTGGCTCTTGCCCCGTAAATACCGCCGGCTGATCGCGATGGCGATGTCGCGGTATGCCGACACGTGGACCGCCTGCCCGTGCAACCCCGCGGCCGTGGCCGATTCCAACGCCTTCCGGAATCGTACGCCCGTCCACGCCTGCTCGCTGCCGGCGTCGGGGCCCCATAAATACTCTTGTCGGCGGGGGGTGGGGGTGCCTCGCTGCTGCCACTGATATGCTTGCAATATCTCCACAAACGGCAACACCAACCATATATATCGGACGACCAACTCCCCAACCTCCTGCGGCAAATACCGCTGAATCACCTTGGTATCGTTGGTGATATGGAACCCTTTGTGATATCGGCTGACAAATACCACCATCCCATCTTCGATAAACACGTTGCGGATCTCTCGCTCGCTGTTCCGGTACCGGATACTCAACAACTCGGGCGTACGGCTGGGCTGGCCGGCCGTGATATGGATCGCCACGCTTAACCGCTCGCGGAACCGGGCCACCTCGGCAAAATACCGGTCAATTGCACGCATCCGGAACCCCTGGCCGTCCGGCTCGCTGAATCGCCGCCGGAACGTGGGCTCCTGGGCCACCCGCTGGATCAACCACTCGGCCCCGTGGACGGGCCACTGCGTACGGGAATCCTTGATAAAACTCCAATCCGCCGTCCGCTGCGTGGGATCGTCGTATATATCCTGTAAATCAATACTGGGGATCTGTGCACCCTCGGCGAATATCAACTGCTGGTGAAACTGGTTCCGCATGCTCTCGACCAACCCGTGGACCATCCCACGGAAATCACCCATGGTAAAATGCAACTGCTTATACAACAACTCATCCTCGCCTTTCCATCCGATATGCCCCTCGGACGGGGTGTTGAAAAACACCTTCTTTCCGTACGTGCGTAAATCCAATAACCACTGGACCGGCCCGTGGGTCCCACGCACCATAAACGCATCCACCATCAATCGTAACCACTCGGGAAACGTACGAATCACCCGACGACCTTGGATCTGGGTGGGGGGTCCCAAAATGGACGTGGTGGGGGATCCGGGCATGGGACGGGGGGTGGGCGTCTCTCGTACGGGGCTGCTGGCATAACCCTCGTCCCCGTCAAATATATATCCGTCCGCGACGGGGATATCGTCACCACGGAAATGGGGCTCCTGGCTGCCCTGCGCGAACCCACGCCGGATGGCCAACGAATCGGGGTCTAACCGCAACGCCTTATGCAATACCAAAAAACGGGCGATCTTGATCAAACTGGATATCTTGGGGGGGTAATCCTCCACCCCATCCCATCCGGACAACTTCCGGCCCAACACGGCCGATGCGCATATAAACGCACACCCATACTCGTGGTGCCGGATCCGCTGGCGTAACAAATTGATGCAAAAATCCATAATCGCGCACTCCAACGGCGATAACTCGTACGGCTCGGGGTCCATGGGGTCCGGGCTGGACCGGCCCGCGGCCTGCGCACGCCGCCATACGATCTCCCACGACCGCTGCTGTGCGGGGGTGAACTCGTACGGGGGACTCTCCCAATCGTGCGGCTGCTGGGTGCGGGTGAAAAACATCAATATCCGCTGCCACGGCTCAATATGGTCCTTGATCTCCGCTTCTTTCATATACGCCAACAACGGCTCGTACGGGGAATCGGCCTTCTGCGTGCGGGCGGCCTCAATCCGCACCAAAAACCCACTCGCCCGGGTGATCTGCTGGCTGACCATGGCCAATCGCTCCATGGCCTGCCAAATGGCCCATGCCGCACCCTCGGGGCCCTCGGCATCCTCGTCCGGCCGCTCCATGGACTGCACTAACGGGGCGGACGAAATGCCCTGTAAATACCGGACCCACCCCGTACGGTTTAACCACGGCGTGGCTTCGTCGATCTCCCCGGCCTGGATCACGGTCTGCTGGCTGCGGGCCTGCTGGGCCTGGAATGCTCGGACGCGCTGGACCAACTGGTGGATGGCATCCACGGGTGGCACCGGTTCGGCCCGCTGTGGAACGGGCTGGCGGATCTGGATAAAATGCGACCCTAATTGCCGCTTGAAAATCCGCTGGCATCTCACGGCCTGGCTATTGGCGTGGATCTCGGCCTGGATCTGCGCGATCTCGGACGGTTTCGGTCGACCACGGTGGCTACTGGGGGACCACTGGTGCTGTTCGGACCAATGGTTTTTCATGGACTTTAAATCGCGGCAAATATATACTGTACAACGTGAACATAATAAACCATCTTCAAATATGGTTAATCCGGGAATCGGGCTATCAACCTGGGTGGGCCAATGGCTGATATCGGGCTGGTCCTCAATATGGTCCCACTGCTGGACACATTGCTCGATATACCGTGCGGTTGTACGGGGTACCCGATGATTGGTGCCGGTTAAATGGGTGGTAATATTATCCCGTCGTACGGCATGCTCACACTGGTGGCAAATCACCACGTTGAACTCAGAATTGGTGAAAAAAAACTCGCTGGCCTGGGGACTGTGGGGGGTGGTTTCGGACATACTGGAAATGGAAATATCACACTTGGGGCGATGATGCAAATCCGTATGCGCAACTTCAACACCGTACGGGCAAAATTCGTTAATTGGCCTTGAAGAACGAACTGAATATAAAGCTGAATCAAATCAATCGACCCCCTGAATTTTCAGCTTTCTAACCCATGTGATCCCCTATACCCTATTGGGTATCTAGTGGCGGTGGTCGTACGGTGATGTATCACCCTAGCCCGCGGTCGGCACCTCTATTGGGTTTTTGTGCACAAAACCCTAACTCTCTTATATCTTATATTCTGTTGGGTTTTTGTGCACAAAAACCAATCTCTTTCGCATCTTAATATTCTAATGGGTTTTTGTGCACAAAACCCCATCTCTCAAAATCCATATCCCTGAATTTTCAGCTTTCTAACCCATATAATCCTTGTACGGTGATGTATCGCCCTAACCCGCGGTCGGCACCCCATCAAAAAAACTCCCTGATTTCCAACCCCTGTTTTAACCATTTCCACTGCTTCGAATGATCTGAATTTCGGTTTGACCATGAAATAGAGGCTGGCGAAAAACATATCAAAATCTGAGCCCCGTCCGAGTCCAGAATGTAAATCCATCCTTATCTTGAAATAATATTCCATCGTACCCCGACCCACTTTTTTTCCCCCATACTAAAGAAGTCCACCCTAATTCCATCGTAGTAGAATGGAATTACCCCCATGGGTTAGAGGGTGACGAAAAACATATCAAAATTTGAGATCTGTACGATAAAGCATTAAAATTGTAACGGACTCGGGAAAATTAATTGTAATGGACCCCGCCCCACTTTTTTTCTCCCATACTAAAGAATCTCACCCTAATTGTAATGGTGTCCATTACAATTACCCCCATGGGTTAGGGTAACCTAAAACATATCAAAATCTGAGCTCTGTACGACCAAGAAATAAAACTGTAATGGACTCGAGAAGTGAAACTGTAATGGACCCCGACCCACTTTTTTTCTCCCATACTAAAGAATCTCACCCTAACTGTAATGGTGTCCATTACAGTTACCCCCATGGGTTAGAGGGTAACCTAAAACATATCAAAATCTGAGCTCTGTACGACCAAGAAATAAAACTGTAATGGACTCGAGAAGTGAAACTGTAATGGACCCCGACCCACTTTTTTTTCTCCCATACTAAAGAATCTCACCCTAACTGTAATGGTGTCCATTACAGTTACCCCCATGGGTTAGGACGGGTAAGTGACACTTCATCTGCTAGTCTTTGTTAAAATGCAATGCTAATGGTACACCTGGCAGCACGTTCTAGGTAGCCAGGTATTTGATTACTGGTTTGACCCGAGTGGCTTTGTCATGGTAAGAGCACTTTTGATTCCCCTCCAAGTGCGAGTAACCGAGCGCTAAAAATTATGCACAAAGGAACACTACTGCGATGGCGATATGGTCAACCGGGAAACACCTATCGCTCACATCCCTGCTGGACCGGCAGCCCTTTCCGTCTGGGGCCCACCGGTTCCCCCCGTATTTTGAACAGTAGCTGGAAATTAAATAAAGATCATCTAAGAGGGACATGGTGACTATCGATGTAGCCAAGGCCAATGGGGACGAATTCCTCGTTGACATTAAGTCAAGTCAAGATTGCCGCTTTTTTTTGGAAGACGTGAATCATATGAATCAATGACCTCTATCGTTTCAGTGGATTTTTAGCTATCGAAATTTCTGTATATCACACACTGAAGATTTATGTTAGTATAGAAGAGTTCTGCGAATGAGGTTACCAATATTCAATCGAAATTTGAATGTACTCACAGAATACAGAACCATCTTGGATATGCAGAGAAATGGCTACATGAAAGGTGTTTATTGAAAATAGCGATCTGCTGTACAAGAGAAAAGAAGGAATGTTGCTATATCTGTATTGAAGAGAGATCTGGAGGGGGGATAAGCCTTATGGGGGCAACGCTGAAAGTCCTCGGAGGCTCAGGCTCCAAGAGTGTTCATTATGATACGAATCGTGCAGACGAATTAGTTTGTGAGGTCAAATGCCTTCAAGACTTGTTTTATAAAGTTTAAAAAAATATTCTTCTATCGTCAAAGGGCAGACCAGTCTTACTCCACAGATTAATCGACCAAACAGACAATCTTTCCCTTGCTCGTGTTGCTTTCCATGATCTGGTGGGCTTTGATCACATCCTTCCAGGAGAACACGCGTTCGATGGTTACATTGAATCTCCCATCTTCTATTCCAGGGATAACCTTCTCCGCCATTTCCTTGATGAGCCCAGCCTGATACTTGAGATCCCGCCCACGGAGAGTACTTCCGGATATGTTGAGTCTCTTGCGGAGAATCGGAGCAATGTTCAGTTGCTCCGTGAGCTCGGTTCCACTCAACATGCCCAAGGACACAATATGACCGTCTTTGGCAGCCACTTCAATATTTGAGGTAAAGTAGTCTTTGCCAATGAAGTCAACAATGATGTTCGCCCCGGCTTCTTTTGTTGCTTCTTTAATTCCTCGGCACCAGTCCTCGGTGTGATAATTGTAACTTTGTTTTGCACCCAGGGTCTTCGTGAATTCCTTCTTTTTTTCTGTTCCGACCGTTGTATACACCGCCGATTCCCCGGCGGCAATCGATAGTTGAATTCCGGCAATAGAGACAGAAGAGGCGCCTGCATGCCAAAAAACCTTGTCGCCAGGCTGAATGTGCGCTACACGATGAATGGCTTGAGTGGCCGTCATCCAGGTCTATGAAGTCGAACGGTAAGAGGCACGTCGATGGCTGGGAAAATAAGAGCTTCTTACCTCTGGAATCGCCGCTGCGAGCTCCCAACTCCATCCAGGTGGCTTAGCAATGATCATGTCTTTGGAAACTCGGATATATTCGGCATATGCTCCTGAGTATTCATGATTAGCCCAAAATCCATTCATCATGCCAGATTGAAATCTCTACCCCCGTATGCCAAGCCAAAAACCTCATCTCCAATAGCCCAACCACCTGAATCGGCTGTTTCCCCAATCCTCGCAATGACACCCGAGAACTCCACGCCAAGAATGGGGCCCGCGTGGGGTGGGACTGGATATCGTCCTTCACGCTGAGATATATCCATGCGATTCAGCCCGAACGCTTTAATCTGGACAAGAACTTCATCTTCACCCGGAGAAGGAGTGGCGACTTCCTCAATAAAAAGAGAGGTGGCCGGGCCTTTAGATCCTTGGATTCCTGTAGTCAAAGAAATCACAGGGTAATTAGTTCACCAGGTATTTTGAAAGAAAAGTGTCTCAACTCTTACCGACAGCACGCATTTTTAATTGAAGTAGACTTTGGAAAGAAAATATTGAATTCAAAATTGATGGACAATATTGAAAGGTGCAAAAAGCGTTGCATATGTATCACTAGTTCGGGTGAAGTGGCATCGGTAGCCTCGCCAAGATTCCGCTAGAAATGGCTCGGAGTGACAAACCGCCTGCATTGTGGATTGGACCCAATGATTCCATATTTAACTTTTTTTTGAGGGCCTATGTCTTTCACGAGAAAAACACGTGAACAGGCTATCGATCCCGTGCCTGCGCCTCTCAGATCCATAAGAAGGAATCTGGTAAACGGAAGATAGTTCGGCTTGAAGGCGAGGTGGCAACTGGAGGAGATGACCAGAAGTTCTGTTAATCTGAGGTTTTCCATCTCCAGAACACCCAGGGCAAAGATTGAGTGCTGCCCCAGAGTATTGGGACCTCATTTGAAGACTTTTCTAAAGATCTTTTACTGTAATTCTCGAAATCTCAAAAGCTTATCAATAGTATTTCAAATCAGTAACTTAGTAGGCTTCACTTCATAAACCAAGCCAAAAGCAATTAGTTGAACACACGAAACCAGTGATCATGATCAACATTTTTAGTCCGGAGTTGATTTTAGTGGACCAAGGAGAATGGGCGGCCGGTTTTAATGACCATTTTGTGACCCAGGATATCTAAACACCACCATAGCCGCTGGCACATTTCACTGTCAAGTCTGGTCATGTTATCAAAAACCAAATTCTCACGATGAAGTCCAAGATGACGGAGGTGAGATACAACAAGGGCTAGCAGTCTCTCTGTCTTTTTGGCGAGATCCAAATGGAAGAGATATACAGCCTAATCATCGGTCACCGTTGGTAATTAGCGAAGATTTTCATGTGTATAACAGGGGTAGACATACCAGTAATGTGAGAGTCTGCGGCACGTCAAGTGGGTTCAAATAGTCTGCTAGGCTAATGAGCATGTCTCCAAAAATATCTAAAGCAGCATGATACAGATTCAAATCAGGATCATGTCGTTCTTTGTCACCATTCAATCGCTGAGACTGAGCGCACCTTCCAATCGCCAGGCAGAGTAAAATTTGGGCAGCAAGTAGCCGGTCCCTTCTGGAAAACGGGGCTTTATCTTTCACTGAAACAGAAAGTATCTCATTCCAAAAGTACTCGTAGTGTCGCTGGAGCGTTGGCAAATGCATGATGGGGTACAGAACATGCACCTCGTCAATAAAGCCCTTCATGTACCCATCCCACGAGGCTCTGTTTGGCTCAATGCCATAAGAAGCGAGAAATGTAGGGTTGTTGGCTGATCTGCATTCCTGGGACATTGAGTCTCGGGTAGAGGGAAAATAGAAGGTCCGACTTGACCGCTTGAATTGAGGGGTTGGGGGCACTGATTCGCAAGTCTGTTGGATACGTCCCACATGGGATTCAACTTCAACTTGGTCTAGCAAGTGTCGAATTGAATCTTAATCTGTGGAGTTTAGAGTTGAAGCGGTGGTAGAGTGCAGCAGATCATCCTTTTTCTCGCACGGATATTTCTTGCTGCTCAAATCCGATTCATAGTCTTCGGGGTCGTGGAATGTAGCGGCAAGAATCCTGCCCAACTTCGTTTCAACCTTATCTAGGCGTGCCGATACATCTTGTATGCCGGAATCCAAGGGACTATAGGCAATCGTTAGTTTGCGCTAGCATCGTTAAGGCAAAGAACAGTGGGTACCATTTCATAACTTCATCTTTCAATGCCATCAGTTGGCGATGACGCTGGTCCTTTGCTATCCTGGCTGACCTGCGGAGGTTTGTACCAGAAGGCCTTTTGAAATAGTCATCAAGACATGGTTGAAATGGATGTCTGTGATCAGACTTATGTTATTGAGCAATTGTCTCTCAGCTGATTCCCATAAATGTCCTTACGTTTATGTTGGGTTGGCATTGATCACTAACAGAGTATTAGGTCTTCATCATACTATAATGTGGAGCTTCGTATGAAAAATACCATTCTGTGGGGTCAACAATTTGCTGATTCAGCCTTCTCGAATCAGTAGCCTGGTCATCTGGCCCGGGATAGGCGCCGACAATGTCTTTGAGCCAGGATTGCACCATTTCGTTCATTATCAACACTTCGTACCAATAGTGATACCAGAAATTCGATTTTCAGTTGATCCAGTCATCAGGACCCAGTCATTTCATGAAACGCTCATTTAAGGCATGGGAGTGAGGGGCGTCGGGTAAAGAGGCATCGAAGGCCAAGAAATAAGGACCCGCAATAGAGGCTGTTTTGCCCAATAGCCAACAAGCATCCGTACCATAACCCACAGAACTTGCACACATGCCGGAAATACGGATTCTCATCATCAAGGAATTACGGGCTGTGTATTCGTGGTGTGCGAAAGACTAAGGAGCCGGCCGTAGCGCCGATTCATGTTGGGAGTCGGGTAGATCGGCATCGTCATCTGCAACAAACAAAAGAAGATTAATTTAGACGAAGAAGACCCGCCTAAATTTGGGAACTTGACCACCGATTGTTGTATTAGTAAACAAGGCCTTATCAACTAGACCTTCAGGGAGTCAGTGCGCTCGGGATAAAACAAGATCCAGAATTCAAAAATTTAAAAATACCAATTATGACAGTGATCAAAGTAAAAATAACCAAATCATTTAATTTTACATGTGTATTTACCTGTAGACTAGATGTTTTAAGAATGCATCATGCGGGGAAATTGAATTAATCTAAAAACTAACGACCTAAGAAAACGAAACTAACTTTGGCACTTGGATGATTCAAGCTACCAAAGCGGAAGGAAAGTATTGATGTTAAGGACAAACAAAGAAAAAGAAAATTAATAAAGAACTTCAATATGAAAAGGACATACCAGTGGACCGAAGACTGAAGAGAAAGATTCGAAAAGCACTGGCAGGAAGGAGGGGGAGGAGATGACCACTAGAGAAGTCATCGCGTTGTGACAGCGCTACTCAGCTTTCTTCGAGGCCTTAGTCCGGGCCTTCATCATCAAGTATACCATGGAATATCCACTGAGAATGAATATAACCACAATTCCAACGTCTCGCCAAGCGTAATAGTAGTGTTTGATGTTCAGCGTGTACAGATAATCATCTCCGGTGCGATATTCACAAACGTGGCAATTCTCCGTCGCGTTAGGATTTATCAGATTCGCACGCGAGCCGTCACCGGTTTGGAGGTAATCGAAAAGGTATTCTTTACAGCTCTGGCCGCTGGGAGGATTGAAAACTGCGAATTCCTTCTTCCCACAATTGACATCTACCCCGAAGATGCTGAATCCCAAAAGCGAGCCACTGACATATGTGAATGGGTTAAGGTAATAGAGCCAGTATCTCCAGAAAACAGTGATCTGGGGATATGGTACTAGAATATCACAGCAGGCCACAATTGTGCCGAGAATCAAGGGTTTGGCTAAGGCAGCGAAGGTCGGATTGGGAGCATATGCAGCAATTGCCTGGCCCAGTCCTGTATATATGAACTCATATAGCCAGATGACAAATAAAGAAGCACCAGCCCGACTTGATTTCGTTGGGAACCCGACCGTCCAGTAAAAGCAGACAAAATAGAGCACAGCGCAGATGCAGAGGTAGGGGAATTCAGACACGATCAGCCCGTTCACGAATGCCTTCCATGAGTACATCCGACTCTTCTTCTCACGTGCATCATAAATCTCCCGGCGCTCGATGAAGAGAGGCTGTAGCTGGGCGATAACACCGGGTGAGATAAAGATCACATTCCAAATGGCAAAGAGACGGAGTTGGAGGTCGTTCACAGAGCTGCCGATCTTCCAGAAGGAAAAGCCGTTGAAAAGTCCAAGAATAATATGCAGAACAAGCTTATTGTTGACATAGTCCGTATTTCTGAACAAAGCGACATTCATTCGGTGAGTAACAAGCCTCGTTTGCATCCAAAGCGAGGTGGCAAATTCGTTGCTATCGTCATCAAAGCCAGGGGGTTTCGCAGCTGCCTCCTCAATGATAGACTCGAGCTTTTCGAACATATAGGAGTGTTGGGCGGAGTCCAGCCAAGCCTGATGCCAATTCACTCCAGTAAGAACATTGCCGGAAACCACGTCGATCATAAATTCTGCTGGATTTGTTCCAGGGGCGCATGGCCCTCCTAGATTTCCGAAGTACTCTTTGACCCGAGCACCATCCTCTCCGATCTCACCGAGGTACACCATCTTACCGCCCCGTGCCAGGAGAAGTAGATTGTCAAATTGTGAGAACAACTGGGCGGAAGGTTGATGAATGGTAACAAGAACTGCTTGGCCGCAGTCGGCTAGCTTCCGGAGAAAGCGAACTGTATTGAAAGCAGATTGGCCGTCCAGACCAGATGTGGGCTCATCAAGGAAGATGAGAATCTTCGGTTTGGACACAAGTTCGACTCCAATTGTAACACGCTTTCGCTGCTCGATACTGAGACCAGAGCCAACTTTACCAATCAATGTGTCGGCAATGTCATGAAGCTCAAGAAGATCGATGATAGTATTAACATATGCTATTTTGTCTTCTGTCAGCACCTGTTGTGGCTGTCGTAACAATGCAGAAAATTCAAGAGCTTCTCTGACTGTCGCAAATGATTCATGGACGTCCAACTGCTCACAGTAGCCAGTAGAGCGTTGGAAAGATATCGGGAGAGGGCGACCATCAACTTGAATAGCACCATGGATTGTGCCCTCCGTTTTGCGCTGAGCCAGAACGTCCAACAAGGTTGTTTTTTCAGCTCCACTAGATCCCATCAAAGCAGTCAAAGAACCTGGTTGGACCCATCCATAGACTTTGTCAAGGAGAACCCGTTCCCCCGACGGTGTTGGTACTGTATATGTCAGGTCCTTCCATGTGAAGATCGAGGTATTTTGAGCCAAGTTCACAGTAACGTCCCCTTTCTCTGCACCATGAACCATTGTTCCTTGGTTCTGAACGGATTGTGACTCCTCATCTGTGGTATCAGGGCTGCGTTTGCGCTTTTCATATGGAATCAATACCGAAGCGCCCGATGCGGAACTGTCGGACCACATGGTAGTGAATGTGATGGTTATAGCAGCGAAAAGGACCCACCACGCCCAGAGAATACCGAAATTTCTCCAGATATGCGATTCCGAATAGCTCAGGGCGTTAAGGTATTGGTCACCCGTCAGGGAGGTCATACCCTGTGTCGCACCGGGAACTCCTGAGCAGGCTTGGTATGATAGGTTGTCGTAACCAGAACCGCTAGGAATGAGATTTGTGCCCGCACAGTCGATCTGCTTGCCCTGGAACTCAGTTGCCAAAAGTGCTTCGAAACCGTAGGCGACAGGATTGATCCAGAATATCCACCCTAGCCAAGGATGCATCTGGGGCTTCTCGATCATATAGCCAGCATAGACGACTAGTGCTGTAACAAGAAAGCCAGAGACCTTTGACGCTCCTTCAAACGATCGGAAACAAGCCCCTACAGCACGGAACATCGAAGTTAAACACATCGTTCCAGCAAAAAGAATAACCCAGTAGGTAAAAAAAGACACAGCAGACATCGTAAGTCCCGTCATAAAATAGAGCACAAGTGAGAAATGGCTGATTTGGAAGAGAATTATTGGAACATCGATGACAAGCTGCGCGAAGCAGAAGGCAGCAGGATGGAAAAAGGCGAAGTGTTTATGCTTGATCAGGACAGGACGGCCTGTAAAGGAGTCCGTAACTTCCGACAAAGGGCTGAGGATACCGTTATAAAGAATGGCAAAGAACAAAGATCCAGATTTAATGAAGAGACTCGTTGTATCTGGCGCGGCTTTGTAAAATAAGGAGCCAGCAACAAGGGCCTGGACCAGAGCTGAGATTTGTTTGATCAAGAAAGTTGCTCTGTCGTTCATGATAATTTGGTATTGACGGATGATACAGGTCATGACTTGTTGATAAAGACTGACTGTAAAGACACTATCTCGAAGAGATTTGTGTTGATCGACTGCAATCGCTTCTTGGAAGGTTGACGTGCAGTCACGGGCCCGGGACGTCGTGGGATAACCTTGCTCTTGAATCATGTTTTTGTAGGTTTCTGAGCTCTCATAGCGAGAACGGATGTCGATTGCAGTGCGAGGAAAAGAGAATTCGAATCCAGATTCAATCTCCCGCTCGGTTGGTACAGTGACTCCGGTAATGTAATCAGCCACATTGGCTCCGTCGCGGCAAACAAAGCCTTGGTGCTCGAAAAAGCGTCGAGTATCTTTCATGGGGCCGTAGAATATCCGTTGTCCTTCATCCAGAACCAAAACTTTGTCGAAGAGGTCGTAAATTCCGTTGCCGGCTTGGTAGAGAGTGACAATAGTAGCCAGGCCATATGTGTCTGTCATACAGCGCAGGGCCTTTGCACATTCAAGTGCGGAGCTTGCGTCAAGGCCTCGAGTACTGTTGTCCCAGCAGAAAATGGAGCCACGGGTGGCTAAGCATTCGATGATCGAGACACGCTTCCGTTCACCACCCGATACACCTCGGACATACTCATTTCCCACTTTGATATCCACTGTATGCGAAATCCCCATGGATTGGAGTAGGAAGTCTTTCATATCCTGGTGGTATTCGGGCACTGTGAGGTCTCCTGGCTGCGATGGAATTTTCATCCGTGTTGCGAAATCCATTGTATCCCCCACCTTCAATGTCGGAAAGAAAATCTCCTCTTCAGTATTCATGACGATTTGACCCGATACTTGGCTGCTTCTTCATGGTTCATTAAACCAAAGTGTACATCTCCCTGCACCGAATAGCCATCACGGCGATTGGCAAGGAGCTTCAAGAGAGTCGTGCATCCGGAGCCGGGGCGACCCAGTACCAATAGCATTTCACCAGGTTTGACGCAGCCATGACTGTTATCAAGGATCTTTTTCTGCGCTGGCTTGTGACGAATTGATTGGAGATTGTGCATGATATTGAACTGAGAGGCAAGATTGTGTTTTGTCGCTGAATCCACCCCAGGAGCTTCCACCGTCAGACCCTGCTAGGTAACTCCTAGCTCACGTCTTTTTAAGCCGCATTGGAGATCACGTTCATTCATTTCACGTACGCGACCTGCAAGAGCCCATGATCCGGGTAGATCTTGACCCTTTTCCAAGCCTCTGTCATCCAAATTTTTGTCATTGAGTTGAGAGGCGGTATTTGTGCTGACGGTGGTTATACTTTCAGCTGACTCGGGCTCGAGATCGGGATCGACGCTGTAGGGGTCGCCCGATGATTCTTGGGCGGCTTTCATAGAGGTAAAGTAGTTGCACGAAAGAAAAATAATATGGTAAACGAAAGTGGTGATATGGTTAATTTCAAAAGCAGGGCAGACAAATCCTCTTATAGAGCAGTCTTATTAACTCTTGCGGACCGGCAAATTTCGACAGACCCGTCTTATGGAAGCTTCGAAGTGGGCAAGGTTATTTCGGCAAGGTATTGCATCCGTGATACGGCAATAGAGGGAAAGGGGCCGCATTGTCTTGGGAGCATTATAGAACCTCATTCCAGAAGGTTGGGGGGCTATACTGGTTGGGGATCCAATGAGAATCTCTGTCCTGCGCTAGCCTCCGTCCCCGTGGACGGAGGCTACACAAAAGCCAGGCGTGATAAGGTTCCGTCTCAGTAAAAGGAGGGGCTGAGTGGGTCTCATTGGATCTTCCTAGACCTTCTAGTTGGCGTTATGAAAACTACAGCTTAGCAATGAACAGAAATGCCTTAGGTGGAGGTTGAAATTGATATTAGGTAGTGCCGTACTTTGTTCGGCTCCGACTATGGACCAGTTCTATTGAACTGGCAGTCTTATATTCTATTCGATGAACTTCTTTAAGTTGATTCAAAAAGGTTATGTTTCACATGTTTGAGTTTTCCTTCCATTTTCCATTTCATGCAGGATTGCGGGTCAATGTGGCGTTCCGTGTTTTGTGCGCAATGACGGAAAAAGTGGCTTCATGGGGTTTTGTGCCGCTTGCTCAACCCAAAAAGACACTCCCATCCGATCCACACAACCAACAAATTATTGGTGCCTATATTCTCAGTACCATGTTATATATACATATTTGGTAGTAGAGCAAGATAGTAAATATGGACTCGTAATCACGAAGAGTTGGTATATTGGCCAATATGATCTTCTGGATTCAAGCTGCCACCAGTAATGTCCGAAATCAATGACGGCGAAAGTCCAACGCTCCTCCTCTTCCACCCTCAAACAAGCTTCTCTTGTTGACCCCTCTTAGATTCATCCTTCTCAGTTTTTAAGCGGCACAATTTCCGGTCGTGGACGGCTGACAATGCTGCATGAAAAATTACCATTCGGGCCCACTCGGTCTTGCTCGGGTTTTTCCAGCCGTGCATAGTAGCACGTTGGACTGCAACCTCTCCTCGACGCATGGATGTCACTTGGCCATCGTCCATGACCATCTCGATAGTACCCTCCAAAACAATACCATAGTGCAGACTTTGGGTCTGGTGCATCATCGGCTCATTCTGTGGAGAGAAATCAACGATTCTACACACGGTACCTCCGTCTTGAACAAGGCCGAGGTCACCATTTGCTTGGATTTTGTCGTTGGTGGCGATATCTTTATCATTTCTCAAATCAGGTGGAAATTTGAAGTGACAAAGATCTCGTGCGCTCCAAAACTGTCTTCGGGGAGGTCTGATCGGATGAGGCTTTGGCGCCGAAGAAGTTGGCTAGACGTGGCCACATGTAGCGCCAACAGATATGATCTCCATTTACCACGTTAAAGGCCTCATTTGCGTAGTGTGGCTTGGTTGAAGCGAAGATTGAGAGGTCTGCGATGAGTCGCGCGTCAGAGATATCGTCGGTGCCATTCCAGAAGTTCCAGTTCGTGGGCATCTTGGCCTCTTCACCGCACTCCTTACAAATGAGGAAGTACAGTGCCAAGGTCAAAGCCTCGTTCATTCCGTTGGGTTTGATAGAGTAGCCGAAAATAGCCTCAGGGCGAATGACGTTCCATGTCCACGAATTTCCGCGCTGTTTGTTGGCTAGGAAGTCTTCCTGGTGGTAGTAGAAATTCTCATCCGGGGCCACAAGGCGAGCATGATCCTCAGAAGCTGGTGACGGTACGGGTTGGATGTGGACATTGTAGTACTTTCCGCCAGTCTGAAGTGTACAGTTTTGGAGATTTCCTGCGACGGACAGAAGGGCTTCGAGGAAATTCTCGAAAAGTGACTTGTTGGCCTTGTTCAACTCCTTGAAGTCGTCCTTGTGGACATAGGAACAGAAATAGGCATGAGTAACGTCGGCGCAGACATCCTTCATCTCATTCACCAGCTCCTCGGGGGACTTGGTGAAGTCCAGGGCGATGAATTCGACCCTAGGATCTGTGACATTCAAGGTCAACGGCGAGCGAGATGAAAGAACAATGCGAGACCATTCATCGCTCTTGGTATATTGGGTCAGGTGGTCCATAATAGCGGAACCAGTAATGCCATTGGCACCAGTGATCAAGGCTACTTTGGCCATAGTGATGCAAAAGGTGGTTGAGTTTGTGATTAAAATGAAGTTTGTCTGCAGAGCGACAGAGCATGAACCTAGGACTACCCAGCTCTCCTTTATAGTTCTTCATCTAGCAGTTACATACCCCAGATCTCTTGTCGATCAAACATCCGTGTCTCATGACAACGCACATCCAAACCCTGGAACCTCCGCTAACCCCCATTTCCGTAGTCTGTAGAACCTAATATGGGTAATGTGGTATATTGGAACCTTGGGGGAGAATCCTATACGCGAAGATTCTATACCCGGAAAACGACGAAGACATTATCGGTAACTCTTTTTGGCTGCCAGTTCATGTCAGCGGGGTTTGATGCTCGTGGCACTGGGAAGACTCTCGGCCGTGTATTTGCTCGAATTATCTCAAGATTTGAGATTTAGTTTAACCGCACTATACGATGCCCGCAGTAGAATGAACCACTCACATTACTTAGTTTCGGGTACAATAGTGACAATAGCAAATTCATAATTAGAATATGACTGCACCACCATAAAATTCGAACCAATACTGGCGAAAGTTACATACATGCTAACCATTTAAAATACCGTTTACCACGCTCAAGTTAGTGATCCCAAGCTCTGGCATATTCAAACCTTCAATCCCCAAAAATAATCTGCCTAGGATTGTGTTGGTAAACTTGAGAAAGCATGAGATTTTGGAGGACTTGTTAAAAATCATTCGAGGATAGATTTGTGAACAAAAATTCGCATCTCAGATTTTTCATAATTTCACTGTTTGGGACTTCCAATTTTGTAGGTCCCTTGCCCACTGACGCCAATTCTTTCGCTATCAAGGACCCCAGAGGCTCTAGAACTGCAACAGGACGTGCGACATGCACGTTGAGGCCTCATTACCGGTGTATCTGCCCTTTGCAAACGCTCTCAAAGAACAATTTTGCGCATTTCCTCTCGTTATGCCACTCGCATAGAAATCTAGTTCAGAAACGCTAGTCTGCAATATATTTCAAGTTATTCAAACCCGAACCCAAGCCCGACAGGAATGTTATTTGAGAGATATAATCATCTGAAGTATGTCATATTCGTGCAAGTTTCAAAGGACGTCAAAAAACTCCTTCGGTAAATGGGCGAGTATGTAAGGTTTTCCGAGGGTAAAGTTTTTAACCTATTCCTTTCAGCGAACAAAACTGGAGATTTCCCAGGTATTATCTTGTTCACTGAATGGTTCCCCTTCACCCTCTATCAATACAGTAAATTTGAGTCCTTCCTGCCTTATTTAACTCTGCTCATGGAGAGTAATAATTGCACATTTAATCATTGGGCAAATTTTCAACTCAACTCAGTCCATTTCCCTGCCTGTTTCTCGAATTAGACACAGCGGATTGCGCCACACGGCTCAGCTCCTTGACAAATTGGTCCAGCTGTTCAATGTGAAGGATGTCATCATATGTCAGATGATGGACCGGTAGTCTCAAAATTGCCGGTGGGACACTCCGAAGGAGGTCAAGATCCAAGATTGCAGATGGTTGATTAGGGTGATCAAGAATATTGAAGAACAAAGTTATTGAACCGGCTATTGGGTAGAAAAGCACAATCCTAGGAGGTATTTAGAATCGATAGACGATAAGTAAAATCTACATAAAACGAATTACTTACCAAAAACTTCCTCGGTCAAGAACGTGATGAGCAATTCGCATATACCGCAATGATGATCGACTAGCCTCGATGGCGAGTTTATTGCTGGAAGCGATTCCGGTGCCCAATAGACTTGGGCTCGTTTCAAATGCCAATCTCCCGCAAATAGCCTGATGAATTACCGTTATACAGCGGTGATATTCAAGCCGGAGAATTAAAGCGCGCATATCAAGTTTTATTTGACCCATCGAAATCCCATGGGTCGAGAAATCAGGTCGGAATTCTTCAGGGATTGCAATGCGCCACTTTTCTAAATCATCGTCGAGCGTTCGAATAGCCATGAGCAGCTCTGCGTCTGTTTTTCGAACTGCAGATGCTGAATACAGGAGTTTGAAGGCACGAGACTTGATTATACTCAGTTTTATGTCGGAAGGAAACAGCCTCCAAGGATGTGCCCGTTCTGAAGGCACACCGAAAGGCAATTCTGCAAATAATTCCTCGAGGTATTCAGCAGAAACTGTCAGGTCACAGTATTCGTCACAAAGCGCTGGAGGTTGTCGAGTTCGGAATGGTAACTCTTTGTCAATGGTATAGCAGATCCAAAATAAACTCCGTAAGTGGTTTTGAGTACGGGAGGAAGTTTCTCGATTGTCAGTTTCAAATGACATTGATGATGAGAGTGTATGGGCTCCAAGTGTAAAAGCCAATTGGACAGCCAGTGAATGCGTCACGGTAGCAGACGTGATATTGCCGGAGTATAATTGGAATACTAACTGTGCATGATATTTTTAGGTTATTTGTGACTGCCAAGTAGTAAGAGAGAGTCATACCAGCATGACGCAAGTCTGAAACGCCTCAAGAGTGGCTGTTTCGGCGATCATTGGAAGAAGATGTCGGATTGTTGCCGTGTAGGACCTGACTTGGCTCGAGGAGCATGCCGAGGGGTCAAAATCAAGAAATGAGGCCAAGACGAGAAATGAGATAACGCAAGCCTTTGCCCCGAGAACATCCGGCCTATCATTCTTTGAGTGGTAGGCCGTTTGAATAGTCTCCCTGAATAATACAGGATCAACGACTGGAAAAATTGCTCGCATGGTGCATTTTTGGTAGACTTCGACACATTTCTCGACTACGCCTTGATTCGGCAACCCCATATTATGATGTCCAAGTGATCTGAAAACTTCGACCGCGGATTGCAGTATTGATGGGCATCTCATTTTAGATGGGTCCATAAGCAAGACTTCTGTTGAAAAGGAATCGCCAGATTTGACTCGTATCCATTCCTGGCCCTCTTTTGATAGTAAGACCAGACCCGTTGTGGAACCGACTGCTCTAGTTTCTCTCGCAGTGAAAAGAAGCATTTCATTTGGGCGAGGAGAATATTCTGAGAAGTTGTATTCTGAGAAGTTGTATCTCCCTTCCTGTGAATCATTTGTCACTGGACTTTCTGGGTCTGGTTCGTCAGAATTTCCAATAGTCCCAGTCAACTTGGAAACGAAGTCGCTTTACCGTCATAGCTCTCAGTCGTCTGATCAATCAGTACGCCACTTGAAACATCAGTTCCCGAGGCTTTAGTTTCGTGACTAACAGTGTTAGGCATTGATTGCCCCTCAAAAATGTTCACGGATATAGTCACCTTCTAGTCTCTCTGCTATATGTGCATGATACTTTAAATGACCACACCAGTAACATCGCGGTTGTACAGCGTCACATCTGATCTAGATTCAAAAGATGAGGTATTTAGTATCAAATAGAATCCAGGTGATTGCTGATTTCAACAAAATATATTACCTTTCGCTTCCAACATGAATCACAGGCCGTGACCCTTTGGCCTCGTACTTTTCTCATAGTCGACGCTTGATTTTGTTATGTAATCAGTTGAAATGAGGCCACGTAAGCTGAATAATTGGTCGAAAAGACTCTAGTCTTCCTGGTGACATCGGGAAGCTATCACAAGAAATTTTTGCGGTAATGATTGGAAAAGAAATTGGAAATCCACTGGTGAATCATTGGAAAACCACCTTATCCGTGTACTACGGGGGCGTACAGGGACCAATTTATCTGTTGGCTCACGTAAACGGACGTATTTTATCGACCAATGGGGTGCGTTCTCGAATGTGTAACTGTCTGAATTATTACCCGCCCTCGAACCATGCATGGTTCTTATGTGCGGATCCTGACTAAGGCTAGTGTCACGGTGTGTCCTGATAGGGTCCGTAGGGACCCGCTAGGACCGATAAGGGAGATCACGGGCACGTGATCTATATTTTGTTTATCTGCACTTCCGATCTGGATCCTGTTGTAGCTCTTCGAGCTACGTCTTGTATAATAGCTTACGCTAGACTGTCCGCCGACCTGCTGCCGGATCAATTAGAAATCCTCTGAACCCGACCCGATCCCGCCGGTCTTCTCCTATTATAACCCTGCCAGCCTGCACTAGACTTCTGCATGGGCTGGGCCTTGGACATAATTTTCTGGCCCATGGGCCGGTAAATTTGAATCTCTATGTAATTACCATGTACTCTATCAAAAACATTAGTATTAACTAGGTAATATATGTAATATATGTATATATTACTTAGGCTTTAGTATGGGTTGGGCCTTGGACATAATTTTCCGGCCCATGCAGAAGTCTAGCCTGCACCCTGACATTTAGATATTATTAAAGTTACCCCTCTTTACGTTTTAGAGAGAGAATCAGTACCAATTTCCAGCACTTACAAATCTCGCTCGGGATGTCCTTTCAGTTCCAGCATCTGGTGCTGGTGTTGAACGACTGTTCAATACTACTCGTGATATTTGCCACTACCGCAGAGGGAGACTAAATACCACAACTATCCAAGAATTAATGATATTCCTCTGCACTTTAAGGTTTGATATACAAGAAGAGCAGTTCAAGTTCTTAAAGGAGTTCTTCTCTTATAATAAGATCAAAGCAGTAAATGAAGAAAGAGATGATTCAACTAATCAATTTGATATTGATCCAATCAGTAATAATGAGGAAGAGGATACACAAGGGCAAGAGGAGACTTAAAGGTCTAAGTCACCTGAAGACCACAATAAGCATGATTCGCCTGATTTACCTATGATAGAAGGGGTAGATACTCAAAAACGCACATCAGGGAGAGTGCGTAAGCGTGTAAGACGTGAAGATAGTGATTTCCTATATAATTAGCTGTTTATTTAATATATTCACTTTATATTCTATCTACTTAAGTGATTCATAAATCAAGATTTCATGAATTAAGATTATATTGCGAAAACTACAAAGCTGTACTAGGCTGTACTAGGAATACTCAAAAATACTCCAAAATACTACATAATTTATGCAGAGAGAGCTATTTCTATGTTTGTCCTGTTTGACGACCCATTGGGTAACCCATAAACCCGCGCGGGTTTCCCATCGGAACCCGCAACCCGCATGCGGGTTAGACAGACCGACCCAAAACCCTACCCATAGGGAGGATGGGGCGGGTTCGGGTGCGGGTTTCTGCGGGTTACGGCACAGCCTACCCGTTTCCATCACAGATTGTGGACGATTCATATCCCCCACCAATACTGGTTGACGGAGAACTTGAATACGAAGTGGAAGAGATAATAGACGTGAGACGTAAGAAAATCGGTCGAGGATACCGTGATGAAGCCCTAATAAAATGGACAGGTTAGGCAGAACAAACCTGGCAGAGGCTCGACGACGTACGAGATTGCTCCGCATTAGATGCCTTTGAAAGACGATTCGACCCCGTTTCGACCCTATTACAGGCCCGCAAACAACCGAATACGACTACAACACACATAAGGAGGACCGCCCTAAGGGGGGGTACTGTCACGGGCCAGTGCCCAGTTCTCTGAACACGTAATCAGGGTCGAACAGCATGTACCAATGGTATGGGTCACGTCTGTGTACTTGTCTGGTATTCTCTAGTCTCCACCACAGCAATTTAACATGTGGTACGCTGACTAATAAAGTTGATTACATGATCCATTGTTCCGACACACCCCTTCAGCTTTGGCAGTCCTGGCAAAGCTGCGCAGTTGCCATAAATGGTCACTTGAATCATTCAAAGCTTCTCAGAAGCAACAAAATAGACACAATTCCTTCAGAACTGCGATCTTTTCAAAACAGCCTCTACTTACTAATTAGGCAAGTATGACTTATTTTTCTTCCTCAATGAGATGACGCACGTCCGTCAATCCCAGCATCCTGACAAAAGCTTCATGCTTCTGCCTCGGCAGCATCTTGGTGAGTCCGTCCGCGAGCATCTGCGCGGTTGGTACCCACTTGATCCGCACCCTGCCTTCCTTGACTTCTTGTCTCAGCCAGTGCCCGTGAATATCAACGTGCCTGAGCTTGGTATCGAAGGGGGTATCCTCTGCGTTGATCAAGTCCACCGTACGGCGGTTGTCACACTCGATTGTGAGACCCTCCGGATATTTGAAACCAATCCTTCCAAATAGACGATCCCACCACTGTAGTGACCTTCCTGCGTCTGATAGGCCTAATAACTCAGCCTCCGTCGTCGACGTGGTCACGGTCTTCTGCTTGGTTGCCCTCCAGTCCACCGGTCCACCGAAGAACTGGCAAATATATCCTGCGGAGCTAGTCCGGTCACCCATATCCCCATACGAAGCATCTGATGAGAACTTCACCACTTCGCTGTCGTTGTCAACTGGACCGTATTGTATAGCCCAGAACCGTGTGGTATAGAGGTAGCAGATTAAGCGCTCAATTGCTTGGTGGTGCTTCGGACCAGGGTTGGTCAGGAACTGTGCGCAGATAGACGCTCGCTTTGCTGCGTCCGCGCGGGTAATCGTGGTACCATATTGAACTGAGCCCACTCGCTGCTGATATTGGTCCTGGAGTTGATCCTCCGGGCTCGGTTCCCGTAGTGATACTGGCGAAACAGGCGTCTGATCTATTTGATTATGGTCCTGAGCGAGACGCTCAGGATCATCCCTCACCCCTTGATCAGTGGTAGTTTCCGCAGAATTGCTTCTAACTGGATAATCCGGTGGTGGGGTATGATCAATTGGGGTTTTGTGCACAAAAACTTGATCTTGTCCCGAGTGTGGTATTGTCGTCTCCTGTGGTTCTCTAGATCCTCCAGATTCTTGATCCTGTATGACGTCTACATCATCCGCATCTCTTGCTCTATAGGACCGTCCCGGAGAGCTCCCTTCTGGGGTACTCTCGGGAATACTCGTACGAGCAGTCTGTTCGTCGAGACCCTGTCGAATACAGTCGACCTCTAGTCCTTCCTCCATGATTGTGGGAGGATAGTCCTCTGGAACTGGTAGCTTCACCCCTTCATCCGGGTCATGGTTCTCTGCCGAAAAACGTCGGTTTTCATCAAAAACTGCGTCTCGGACCATCCTGACCTGACCACGGTGCGGTATCCAGATTTGCCAGATATTCGAGGCCACGTAGCCAACGAGATATCCTATCTCAGCTCGTGACTTCATTTTGTCAAGTTTCGGGATATTGGGGATCCTGCAGTATGCAAGTGATCCATACAATTTGATATTCGCAAGCGACGTCTTTGTGGGAGTATTGACAGGAGTACCCTCGGTACCCTGGTTGAACCCAATAAAGCGCCGTGCTTCATCCCATGGAACTATCCAAGTCCCATCTTCCAATCTCGTAGGCGTACGGTTCAGCAGGTATACTGCCGCTTTTACCGCTTCTGGCCATAGTTTATCGGGTAGTTTTCCTTCCTTTAGAAGCGCTCTCGCTCTAAGGATAATCACACCTCCAGCACGCTCACCCGGACCGTTCATCTCAGGCGTATACGGGACTGTAAACGTGTGAACACACCCCAGCTGCTTAATTAGCAGTAGAATACTCTCATCGACTGATCTCTCGTTATCAGAGTGGAACACCTTAATCGGCAAATTTAGCCAGCGAATAGCGAAAGCGATAAAGCTTCTGATCGCTTCCTGGCACCCGTTTTTGTTCACATGGGTCATTAACCAGTGGAACCGGATACCCTCAACGTAGAAATGGGTTATCCAGCAGTGCTGATTATATCCCATAATGACCTGAATTAGGTCAAAGTAGACCCTCCCGCACCGTCCGTAGTGCTTGCCTATCGGTCTCCGCGAGACCTGTCGTGGAGCGTTGACCAAGCTGCAGACCGTACAAATTTCATCATCCGGTCGCTCTTCCCCATCCTCCGTGCTTCGTACAACCTCAACTCCACTGACCAGTTTCGGTAGTTGCTAAATTGCTGCCTTCGAGACATGGCCAAGTCGTTTATGCCACGTATTAGTATTGGCAGACGATTTCAACGGTTTCTCTGATCGTCGGGTAGCAAGTGCAGTTTTATGCTGGGTGTTGTTTTGGGTCTTGATCGTAGTCGTACGACCCTCTGTTTTCGGCCGAAAAACTGTACGTTCATCCCGCGTCTGTGAGAACAGATAAATATCATGTTCTCGGTAGGTCTCAAGAATAGGTTGATCTCCAATCATAATCCTTCCTTGCTTCATATCCCACCATCCTCCATGGTCCTCTATCCTGCCTAAGGAAACCAAATTGCAGTGAAAATCTGGAGAATAACGGCAGTTATACAGGTTAACCACACGCGGTCTGCCAGTTGTAGGATCCCTTCCGGTGAAGGTTGCTGTACCGACTCCAGCAATTGCGGTCCGATTGTCACCCGTACGGAGATACGAGGGGTCTTCCTTATACTCGGTAAATTTGGTCCGGTCGTTGCATACGTGTACGCTTGCTCCGGTATCCAATACCCATTGGTCTCGGTACTTGGTATCAACTTCAGTTGATAGGGCGACTGTGGCAAAGCCAACGTGGGCTAAATTTGCTGATCCAGACGGTTTTCCTGCCAAGTCAGGTGAGTTCTTGATCTGGTTTTCGGCCCAGACCTTCCACTCTGGTTCCTTTTTGAATGACTTCTTCAGCGCTTCGGAGGCCTTTCGTAGGCCCATCCACCCATCCGGTCGTTGGTCTTCATTCAACACCCAGCACCGGGTGACCGGGTGTTTCATGCCACAAGGGCAGTAGCTCCGGTCCTGAAATGGTCCAGTTTTCCCGTCTTTTCTTTCGGTTCTAGAGGTTTCAGCCTCTGCTTTACCCTGCCAGGTCGATGTGGCAAATGCTGCTTTGGATATAGAATTGGTATTCTTCTTGGTAGTCTCGGAATACGACATAGTATAGGAGGTACGGAAGGACTCAATCAGATCATTTATCTCGATTGTATTACTTCTTAGTACGATATCCTGGAACCGAGCTTCCCACCAGACCGGTAGGATGTCCTTTACAGCATGTAAAAACAGCTGCGGATGCTGCGCAGTGTCACTCTCCACTTTTAGGTTGACCGCTTCATCACGTATCAGCTCCCACTCTTCTAGCCAGGATAGTACGTTTTGACCCTTCTTTGGTGGTCGTACGCACCCTTCTGCCCAGCGTAGCAGGACTTCATTCTGGTGAGACTTTGTGTGTGAGAAGCGCTTCTTGAGAAAGCTAATCTTCTCGTACGGAGTCTCAAGATCATCCATGAGACGGTGTAGCTTAGTATCTGTTGACGCAGTGATCACGAACTCAACTGATTGTAGGCCGTTTTCCACCTTCTCATACCTTTTGAGCTCCTCTTTGTAATCGTCATGGTCGTAGCTATACTCCATCTGACGATCCTTAAACTCTTCCCTTAGGGTCTTGGCTACCTCTGTAGTTGCCCCTCGTGGGATATGTAACCGCGGTCGTGCGGGGGCCTGCGGCTCCTCCAGCACTTCCGGGGCTGGTTTCTCAGGATTGCAATAATCCCATACTTTCCTAGTCTTGGCAAACTGCTTCATCGCAGAGTACCAAGCTGGCCAATGAGAGCTGTTTTTCAGCTTCTCACCCTTCCATTGTGAGACAGATACCGTGGGGTCCATCCTTAGTTGGTTTCAAATGGCTTTCAATCCTTTCTCAATTGTCGTGTTCTTCGGAGGGGTTGACGCGGCAACTTTGTTGTCGTCGTCAGTGATCTCAGGGGTAAACAATCCTGTCGTCGCAAGTCGAGGAGAGCTTCTAGAACGTATATTCAATCAAAATATCACGGTAGGAGAGATAATCCGGGCTCATAACTCTCTGAACACGTAATCAGGGTCGAACAGCATGTACCAATGGTATGGGTCACGTCTGTGTACTTGTCTGGTATTCTCTAGTCTCCACCACAGCAATTTAACATGTGGTACGCTGACTAATAAAGTTGATTACATGATCCATTGTTCCGACACCAGTATAAGGTCACGTGCACCACATGACCATAACAACCTAACACGCAGAACACCTACTTAACAATTCTCTCTTTAAGCTTTTTGTACACAGTTCGTGGCCTAGCTCAATTGAACATAAATTCTGCTTCAGCCATTCACACTGGCAGAGTTCCAGGACTATCCAGGAACCAACCCCCTTTTTAGCTGGTGGGAGTCTGTGTTTGTAAAATAGTCTCAGTACGGCCTTTAAAATGGCAAGGATGGCTTGCTATACGTCATCTCCGCTAGCTCTAGATCATTCTTGAGATGGTCGGGGTCCAGGCCGCGATGGCCCAGATTGATTTCATTAGCTTGTAGAATTTGCTTATATGGGTCCCGCAGTGGTATCTTATGAGTCATATTTCGGGCGATGCAAACTCGCATTGCAGCCTTACAAATCGGGCATAAATGATGAAGCTTAGAACTTCATCAAATCTAGCTATTTATGCTGAGAATCGAAGTTTTGAAAAACAACTCTAAATGATAAATCACCGTTTGGCCAACATACGTAGTCCTAGTTTTAATCGCACGTATCTTCCAAGCTACCGATAGCAAAATTTATTTGTCAGCGATTCTCCATTTCTCCACTCTGGTAAGGCTTGTCCCAAGACGCCGTAAGATTTTATGATTTGTATTCTTACCCAGGTAGAAAATTACTCTCTTGCCTCTCCATTGCACTGACCCTCTCTTCACGTTCTAAAAGCCCGTTCCCTTATATTCTGCACGTGAGGTGAAGTCGCGCCTTCTGCAGCATGGCCGGCGGGACACGCTGAAAATGGTCGACGCTTAATTCCCAAGATCCGATCTTTCAGCTAAGTGGATAGCTAAATACGTCCTCTATACATCTAATCTGATCAAAGTGACACATCTCCTTCAGCCTCAAGGGGGTGAGTAAAATCACATAATATTCTCCATTAACTTGTCGCTATAGATGCCTGGTGTTAAATAAATAACAACAACAGATATAAACAAACATAAGGGAAACTCGTTATTCCATTAGAACATGGCGGCAACGGCTGCGGCAGCTGCAGCGGCCAGTGGTGCAGCGGTGATCAAAGGCTTCGCGGGACCAACAGCAGCACCAGCGGTCTTGGTTGCCTCAGGAGCAGTGAAGGAGGCAACACCGCCAGTGACCTCCAGCTCCCAGTAGGTGATCGACGCAGTCGCGATGTTTGAGCTCGAAGAAGAGGTGGAAGAGGCAAGGTTTCCTCCAGATGATGAGCCAGTGGCCGAGACACTCCACGAGCAAGAGACCGATGTTGAGTATTGACTCATAGAGCAGTCAGCTGTCTCGGTATATGTGGCGGTCGTGTGATCACTCGAGTAAGTAAAGGAAGCATCAAAGTTATAGGTGGCAGGACCCTGAATGAGGGTCCAGGGATGCTTGGATTCGATCTGGCAGTCGGATGAGGGCGCGCCGCTCAAACACCTGATTTCGTAGGTGGTAGCCTCTGCATTAATGCCAGCAACACTGGCTGCAGTGCTGGTGAACCAAAAGGGGCCGATGTCATCACCGAGTCCATTGTTGACACCGAGATAGCCAACGGTGGTGGTGCTCTCGGCAGCGGCTAAAGCAGACAATGTAACCGCGAGCAATGAAGCGGTGCGCATTGTGAGTAATCTTTTCGTTGAGGGTGTTCAAGGGAAATGACCAAGTCGCAGTCGTGATATAGTAGGGCAAAAATAGACAAGTTCAAGGTAGAAGAAAGGAACAGAAAATAAATTGCGAGAAAAAGGACGGTTCTTCAATTTTGAGCCGTAAACAGTACGCTAGAGGATTTCTGAGCCTCGCTTACGTCTATATGAGAGTGCTCGGACCCGCTAGCCCTCTTTGAAATGGTCTCTGAAGTTGGCAAGCGCTAAGTGCCCCTGCACCGGACGTGTTTCTGTAGAACGAGGTGTATTGCTAGTGGGATGCCGGTCTTGCCGCTAGCGCATCTTCTTAGTGCGCTAGAGTAGCTTATGAGATTTTGGATTTTATCGGGCGACTCTGGTGCAGTTGCTCAAAATCTTCCTGCGTTCAACCGAGTGCTAAGTGGTTGAACCTTACAATCCCTCCCACTCTGTGAACTACATCGCCTAGCTACGCGAACACTTTGTTGTGTGGAGATCAGATGATGGATGATTGTTCTGTATTTTGTAACCAAGAGCAGAATGAGAGTGATTGATTTAAACGGTTGAGTTTCGAAACTTCTAGCTTTGCTGGATTGCTCAACGATTGTGAGGGCTCTAAATGGACAATAATAATGATAGTAATAATAATCAACGGTCGTGTTTAATCCATGTGTAAACGCTCTGGTAGATGTAGCTTTGGTAGATTACCTAAATTATGGTAATCTACGTTTCCGGCAGCAACTTGCCTGCCGTAATATTTGCTGAAATCTCTTGGGGGGATCCGGCAACTTGCCAAGATCGCCCGCCGCAGTTTCCACACTTTTACCCCTATTCCCTCGCGTCTTACTGGACTGTGTTTTCATATGGCCCCTCTAAGCACTCCATATTGACCAAGCACTCTGTATGGATATTTATGATAGTCCTGGGTTGACATAAGCACGTCCTCGTGAAGAGATCACCTGTGACTAGTCATCATGCAATGAGGGACAGAGGAGCTTGGTCAGACGCAGAAAAGACAATTGCTGTGTATTTTGGCTCTCGATGTGTCAGTATGCAGTCGCTCCGTTGCTTACTTTTGCGACGGGGATTCGATCGGTCGGAAAATGCAATAGAAAGAAAGTTGCGGGCCATGATCGACGAGTATCCATGCCTGGGAACATCTATCAATTGTTAGGCTACGAGCGCAGTTGATTGCTGGATTGATGACTTACTCGGAGACCCTGAATCCGTCAATACTCTGATCAGGATCACCGCAGAGGATGCCGAAATCATCGCAAATGTGAGTCATGCGTTGCGGAAATTGACCCGCTTTGATCCACGATTTGCTCATTTGTGATAGAACCAATCGTTAATCACTATTCTGAGGGCATTGAGACTGCTCAACCTTCGTTTCAATCAATCCGAAACAAACTAAAGAGATGGCTGCAGGGGGGTTTCGGCAAGCATGGTCTGCCGAATGCCGGAAGATGTAATTACCGTGAATTAGGTGATTTCCCAGAAATACAGTGACCGGACAAAAGTGTTAACACCCCCTTTGATTATGTAAAATTCTGCCAGTCCAAAAACTTTTTGAAACCAGGCGATTTAGTATACACCACTGCGTAGTAAGGCTTGTGTAACCCATTTTATCGAACCATTGCTTGCATTCGGGGCTCTCAGACATATTTGAAATGTTTTAGCGGGATTTCCATACGCGATTTGGATAGGCATAGTAGGCGGTGGGAAAGGCGGGTCATTAGGGGGGTGTTAATACTTTTGTTCGGTCGCTGTACATCTAGAAAAATGTTGGGGACTTTCCTGGCCAAATTCGGCTTAGCGCGATCGGAAGGGGGCGCTGGGAAAGAAAGCCTGTGTGTCTGGGGGGTAAACTGTTTTCGAATTCTACTGTACGTAGCAGGGGGAACTGATGGGACTGTATCAGATTCTGATAAGCGAGCCCCTATTATTGACGCCTGTATTCGTGGCGCACGTGGCGACGATACCGACCTCCTGTATCGATTGTGAGTAATGGCGGGACGGGCCGCGATGCGAACCCCTGAACCGCCCGACCGCGAGGAACGCGAAGATTCGCCACCGCGACTGTCGAGACCGAAACGCACCACCAGACCGCCAAACAACTACGCTCGAGAACAAGAGATCGACAACGAGTAGAGGAAGACCCGGCCCCAACAAAAGAAGAGAACTGAATTCGAATCCCGGTCTGATGTGGTAACTTCGGACGACGCCGCGACCGAGGGCGACGAGCTCGATGTAAGCAATTTGGTGAGAGAGATCGTTCAACTTAAGAGAGAGATCAGACTCCGAGACGAACTATATAAGGAAGAACTATACAAAACCAGAGAAGAGTTTGGCGCCGCCCTCACCGAGGTCCGGCACGAATTACAGACCCTGACAGATCGAAACCCGATAACGTAATGCCACCCCGAGATATGCTCTCAGTATAACCACGATAAGATCCTACGCGAGATTTAGGCTCTACGCGAGGAAATCAGCGTTCCTACCCCTATAAGCTCCCCTTCCTATGCGGATGTCGCGCGCACTCCTCCGAGTAGCTACCTAAGTAATATACGAACCCTCTTAACGTTAAATACGACACTAGACTTCTGCATGGGCCGGCCCATTGCTGCCTGATTCTGCCTGATTTTTTGACATAAAATGCTGACTCACCCAACCCATGGGGGTTGTGAAGGGCTGAAGCAGAATTTATGTTCAGTTGAGCTAGGCCACGAACTGTGTACAAAAAGCTTAAAGAGAGAATTGTTAAGTAGGTGTTCTGCGTGTTAGGTTGTTATGGTCATGTGGTGCACGTGACCTTATACCAGTGTCGGCTCACGTAAACGGACGTATTTTATCGACCAATGGGGTCCGTACTCGATCGTGTAATTGTCTGAATTATTACCCGCCCTCGAACCACGGTTCTTATGTGCGGATCCTGAGTCCTGACTAAGGCTAGCATGACAAAGCAGATTACCTAATTTTATGATTCTCCATAACTAACGTGAAGTCCGGTTGCGCGGGCGACCCGGTTGAGCGAGCGACCCCACCAAAAATCCACTTCCATATTAATACGTCTTCTTCAACCATAACAAGAATGCCCCCTGAGCGCTCCGATAAGAAAAAAAAGCTAATAGAGCAGGAGGGTCGTCTTTTATTAGCTATAAAAGCTATAAAAGATGGTAAATATCCCTCTGCTGCGGCTGCTGCACGATCCTTTGATATCCCTGTCTCAACTTTGAAGGCACGGATTAATGGGCGTGAATCTGCTACTGAAAAGCGACACAATCGCTTTATTTTCACCGAAATTGAGGAAGGATCGATTGAAAAATGGCTACTGGATATGGATTCTAGAGGGGCAGCTCTTACTTTGCCTATGTTGCGAGATATGGCTAATCTGCTACTTTATGCCCGAAAAACTACGCCCTCTACTGTGGGTAATCATTGGCCTGCTGAATTTATCAAACGACGCCCAAATCTCTCTACTCGATTCTCTCGCAAATACGACTATCAGAGAGCCCTTTCAGAAGACCCTAGAATCATTAAACCATGATTTGATTTGGTGCAAAAAACAATTGAAAAGTGGGGTATTGTCTCGGACGATATCTTTAACTTTGATGAGAGTGGTTTTGCTATGGGTATCGGCGCAACACAAAAGATTATCACTTCTGCAGAATACCACGGGAAAAGAGCTCTTTTACAAGCCGGAAATCGCGAGTGGGTAACCATAATCGAGTGTATTCGAGCTTCTGGAAGTATTATGCCTCCACTCTTCATTTTCAAGGGAAAAAAGTTTCCAGAGCATCTACGCCCTTATCTTCTTTTAAATCAAGAAGGAGCACGTCTCACTATGAGTGAAAATGGCTGGACTACTAATACAATTGGTTTATGGTGGTTGAAACATCTTTTTATCCCAAATATTGGGCCAAGAGTGGGGAAATATTGCCTACTGGTCCTCGATGGTCATGGGAGTCATTTGACCCCCGAATTTGACCAACTTTGTGAAGAAAACCAAATTATCGCAATCTGTATGCCTCCTCATGCTTCCCACCTTTTACAACCTTTGGATGTGGGCTGTTTTTCGGTTTTGAAGAGGCTTTATGGAGGAGCGGTTTCAACCTTGATGCGGAATGGAGTGAACTCTATTGATAAGGAAGATTTTCTTGAACTTATCGCTGATGCGAGAATTGGTGCTTTTAAGACTTCTACTATACAAAATAGCTTTTCAGCTACTGGATTAGCACCATTTGATGCTAATAAAGTCTTGGAAAAGCTAAATGTGCGCCTGGATTCCCTTCCTCCTCTCGATATTGTCTCACAGCGACCACTCTCTTCCGGCAGTGATAGTGATCCAAATACTCTCTGGACTCTCTCAAAATTCACAAAATCACAATCTCGGATCAAAAAAGGTCTAGAATCTTCTTCTTCAATCCTCTCTTCACCAACAAAAAGAGAGCTTCAGAAGACCTATGATATGACTATCAAAGTGGTCCACCACCATATTTTTCTCCAGAATCGCTGTACCCAATTAGAGGCTACCAACAAGAAACAGACAAAAAAACGAGAGACCATACATAAGTTTACTACCCAGAAAGGTATCTTTGGGGGTCTAGAGAGTGGTAAAGATGATGTGGTTTATGAGGATGAAGATAATGGTAAAGATATATATTTGCCGGAGGTATCTACAAGAGCGGTTGTTGAGCCTACTTTACCTTCTATGCCTTCGGTTCGGCGGCATGTGACATGTTCTGGCTGTGGGATAAAAGGTCATACATATCCTGGATGCCCTTCACGTGTTTATTAGCAAAATTTTGAGTTATTTGATGGTTTTAGTGGTAGTTCAAAATTAATGATTATTCGAAGTTTGGTGGGGTCGCTCGCTCAACCGGGTCGCCCGCGCAACCGGACTTCACGTTAGTTAGCGACAGGTTATGTCGGAACAATGGATCATGTAATCAACTTTATTAGTCAGCGTACCACATGTTAAATTGCTGTGGTGGAGA